GGGCTTCATTTTTTAAAGCCTAAAATTTAGTTTCAATGTATTATGTGTTTCTAAAATTATATGGAAATTAACCTACAGGCAAAAATGAAATAGTTATACAATAGTCCTCATTGAATATCCTCTGAATATGTTTCAATGAGTGGAAGATTGTAGTTAATTTATCAGCTCTGTTTCAATATTATCAAATAGCATTAATGTTTACATGTTTCAGACATGTGGAGGAATGTATTATAGTCAAAAGTAGTGTTAAAAATGACAGCAAAAAGTGATGAAAAATAAGTTCAAAATTGCTTAAATTTTGTCAAATGTATCTTAATTTGAGCACATTTTGACTGCCTAAAAACAGGATTTTCCAATGGAACAAGCAAAATGATGGAAGAAATATCTCCCTGAAATGAGAAATTAAAATGACAGTTCTTGAAATTAGACTAAATGGCTCGTCTCATTGGCCTGGTGGCTTTTATTTCAGTTTCCAGTTTTCATCAATCAGAACAAGCATTTTAGAAAAATTGCGTCACAACAAAGAATCCAACCCATAGGTGTTAGCGAGTCCAAACAACAGAGACATGACTGAAATCTCCATGACTTTAAAAGCCTGATCACTTAAATATTATGTTTTGTGTTTGCCCCAAGCATAGACTGTATATATTAACGGATGTAGTCACGCCTATCTCTGCCGTTCTAACTAATGGGCCAAAAATTGGGCTTTCATGGAGTGATTCAAAATGGCCGCGGGGGCTGGAAATTGTGAAAAAACGACATGCGTCAGTCGGCGCGAGCCCCATTCATTTAAACGAGTGCCGTCAAAAATTCACAGCAACTAAACTATAGTGGTCCAAAAAAAACACTCCCCTCAGCATTGACACACATGTGGAACGTAGCGTTGGGCCAAGAGCCAACTTTTGGACCATCCTGTAAAGGTGTTTTTGAGAGGTCAGAAGACGGCATACAAAAGCGTTGGATAATTCTCTTTCTGGGTCCACCCCCACCGTATCTACTGGCGCTATGAGGCAAATGCTGAGGGCTGCTTCCATATTTTTGTCTTTGTGTGGAAGATTAACCACAGAGACGGGATCTTTGCGTACTAGAACTCCTGGAAGTTTATTCAGTTTCCTTCAGGTTTCAGTTGTTTCAGACAGAACAAAGTCAGGGCACGGTTTATATAGTCTGTTACGTCACAGCCACGTCACACATAGAAAGGCATACAGTACGTGTCGCATCAAGAGACAATCAGAACATATTAGAGTCAGAACATGGATACACAGCGGGGTCCTTGTGACTGGGGCAGATATTTTGTCTTGCGTTTGTCCACCTGCGTAGGCCAGTTATCTATCCACCATAATTGTATAAAACCATGTGAACAAAACATCAAAAGAATCAAAGCCAGAGAATGTAAGTTTCAGGTGGAACTTTTACGGCATGACTCCATAGAAAGTAAAACAAACACATCCAACAATGAGGACAAACCAAAAAGTTTCAGGGCACTCCACTTATATGTGAGAAGTTTAATTGAAACTCTTGAAGTAATGCATTTTTATCTGTCAATTCCCATCTTGTATTTATATTGTGATTGTGTTTTGTTAAATCATCACTTGTGAACTCTGTTATATAGAAATCCTTTTTTCTTCTAAAGCCCAAACAGTTTAGGGGCATTTAACACGTAGTCCCTCTTACACATGTTTACTTAAGCAATCTAATCTCACGCCTAATCTTTGACAAGTTTTTCTTTTTCATTCCTGCATTTACAGCCTCAAAGCAGACGAAGGTGCAGGTCTCGGGGTAATTAGGTTAGTTATCTCGTGGCCAAAAGGATAAAGTTCTCTCTTATGGCGTCTGTTTCAACTTAACCTAATTGGATCTTTAAGAAAGTCAGCAAATATTTGGGCTTAGATAAAGACGCAGACCAAATGGAGGGAGGTCACAGCAGCAGAAGGATGAGCCTCGAGCTGAACTGCGCTGGAAGTTCATGATCAAGTTTTTAGTTATAGTGAAAAACACAGAGCAGACAGAACCATACCATAATGTGCGGTTACACTCGTTTTCATTTTCATCAACAACAAAGGCATTATACAGTCTTACAAGATGTAAACTCTATAGCTTATTTCTCCGTCCTCTTCCCCCGCTCGTGGAGGAGCGTGAAAACTCACAGGTCTTCATACAAGTGAATGGGCTTCGTCAAGGCGCTCAGCAGGAGGCCGCACAGAGGGTGGGGGGCGAGCCATCATGTCAGCGTAAGCCCATAAAGATGTAGCATGAAATTTAATTCAGCTGTTAGCTCTTCTAGCTTTCAAAATTCAAGGTTTCTTTTACCACATTTTATTCCATGAATTATTGGGTCATAAGCCAAACTCAGCTTCTGTCTTTCCAGAATCAGAATCAGACATCTTTGTATTGCCATTGGAAGTAACAGGAAGTCACAAACTAAGAATGTTTTAAGTTTTAATGGTTTTAAGTCCTTGTGTGATTTTAATGTTTTAATTGTGATTCTGGTGTTTGTTTTATGTGATGATTTGTGCCTTGGGTGATGTGGACTGTGAAGCGCTTTGTGTTGCCCTGTGTATGAAAGGCGCTCTACAAATAAACTTTAATAGATTGATTGAATTTATTTTGGTGTATGGTGCAAATGAGACATAATTTTTTTTTTTTTACATTACATAGAAATAATTGATTGAATGACGCTGTACCTCATTTCAAGACGCACAAAGGACACACATTTCTTGCATCGAATTGCTAAATATTTTGTATTTGTATCGAATTGTATTGAAGTATATTTATCATAATGACTATATCAATACCCTAAAAGATACCCTGCCCTAGTGCACTGTGCACTCAATATCCTTGACTTTTAGAGATGTCCAGTAATAAATAACACTTTCCCCCTCTGTTTTGGAATTGTATCAAATTAGCACTTGCTAAAGAAGCCGGGGTTGCATTAAGAATCCCAAGTTCCCCGCCATGAGGAAGTGTGAGAATCTTGCAGGGGGCAGTGTGATCAGAAACAGCCTATTCCCCTGATCCGGATTCTCAGGGTGAATTAATTAGACCTGGAAGAGCCAGACATGTGCGCATACCTGAGACCTGCTTCATCCTCACCAGTCACTTACGCCACATGCTACCAGAGCGCTCGCTTATTTAAAGAAAAAGATCCACATTTCGGTTTGAGTAATTATGATATTATTAAGAGTGATACTCCCAAGTGCTTCCAATTTTGGTTATGATTCATTTTTATTATTACTTTCTCACACTTTGATATGATTTAAATAATTTGTCAAAGGGATATTGGACTTTTACATAGACACAACTGTAGTCTATTTGTTATTTATTTTTTTTTTTAATCTCGAAAGGGAAGAGGAATTAAGGTGAAGGGAAAAAGAAATTGTCCCGCTTCCTTCATTCATAAACAATAATTGATTTGATTGTGAGTCTTCAGGTCTGGTAACTTTCACCAGAACAGTTCTCAACCTTGTATTTGTTTGGCATCTGTTTATTTTAGAAAAATGAATTGGTATGACTGGATATTTCCTCAATGTTCTTGAACGTTGTTTCCAGACCCCTACTGTTCAATTGCCAGAATCATAGATTCATGAATAATTTACAGTTATGTGTTCAGTGAAGGGAGTTTTCTTAATTGCGGTGAATCAACTTACAAGACATCCTGGTCATATCCTGCGCACAACAATTATATGGCTTTGAATTGTATGAAATCAAGAAGCTATAAAGAAAATATTTCACAATTGATTAGGTTTGTTTGCTTGTACAGTATGTTGAGAAATTAGAAAATATTCTCAATTTCCATTTTAAATTGCATTTAGGTCTGTTTGTCTTGCAAGAGTAACATTTCGCTTCTCTACCGCTGAGTAAGAACCACAGAAGAATATACATATGCAAGAACAATTTCAACTGGAAAAGTTTAAATGATCTTTACCAGCCTACAGGCATGTGCAGTGGGTGCCTATGATGAGGAGAATCTGTATTTTTCCCAACAAAAAGAGTCAAAGATAAGAGTTAAAATATTGTGAACATATCAGACTACAACATGCTTCATTTTTATAAGAAAATCTCTGTCAGGAGGAGCTCTATAAGTCACTATTTGACGCTTTGGGCTGAGAGCTGATTTGCAGAGTGAATGTAGTCCTGTCTAATAAATCTGATCTAAAGCTAAATGCATGTGAAATCTACTGATAGTTTTGAGCAAGGAACTAATTAGGGCTGTAATTTACTACACACTTCGAAAGTTATGCACCCTAGCTTTGATCTGTTTCATTGTTTCTCTCTGACTCCTAAATACAACCCTTTCTACCCATACATCTGCGAGTTTGTTGCCAATTATCTCCCTATTCACCAATAACGTTCAACAACAGCACCTCACCAGGACTTTATAATTATTTTCATTTCAAATTGCTTTTTGCCAAAGTGTCCAAACTGGGCTGCTCTTTGTTAAAGCCCTCATCAGGCAGCAGGACACATTACAACACATTACAACTATTTATTTATTTTAATTTTTCATCACAATGTTTTGTTTGGCTCGTTTGCACCCTTCATCTTTCCTCCCCCCCCCGTGTTACTGCCCCACAGCTATGTTCCTGGTCTGTCCCCCCTGGTTCACAACATCACTCATTTATTCCACCATGTAAACTCTGGTGTCAGATTCAGCCTTAACCTTATTGGTGCATTTTTAACTATGCAAATGAGGGTCACTGGCGGTGTACGGCACAGCGCGGGCAGGGATAGGATTCACGCTGCTGTTGTGTACCACTTTATTTGGCACCTCGGCAGCTTGCGCCACACACGCCACTTTCCCAGCGCGCGGTAGTCTATCACTTCTCTTTCAGCACGATGAGATCACACGCCATGCCCCGGAGCCTATGTTTATTATGGATGAGACGGATGTATGCTCTAGGTGCGTCCCAGTGTCCAAGTTAGGGGGGGGAGGAGAGGAGGGGGGACTTTGTAAGACCGGGGACCAAAGGGTGGCAGGATGAGGGTTAGGGCAGGTGCCGATGGATGCGCTGTGGCTCCCAGGCCCGGTGTGCCGCTATCTTCGCTCTGGCAAGGCTTCAGACAAGCTTCCTGTGGAGGTCACCTGTGATCAGTGCTGAGAGCAAAGAACAACACACCTGCCCGCACAATGGGACACAGACAAAGACACGGGATCAGTGTGAGAAGAATCATCACAATGATTATTTGTGATCAGGCGTAAAATGTAACAAAACAAGAGTGGAATCTTATCACAAAACAAAAATCCTTAACATCAGTCTAATAGCACGGGTTTAGTGTGTGTTGTCAGGACTATGGACACTTCAGAAGTAACATTACAAACCACATCACTGAACGGTTTCCAGTGAGTTAACTGAGGCCCCATTTTAGACGCTGCGACAGTAAAACGTTAGAGTTGGGTATCAGTTTGGCCTCCCGTTTACATGAAGTCACAGTGTCCCAGGGGGGTGAATACGTAAGCGTTGAGATCCAGCCTAGACAAAGGTGTGAATTCTCCGCCTGCTATGACCCAGACTTCCCCGCACGTACATTTTGACATGCGCAGTAGCCAATAATAAACAGAAAGAACAATGGCGGCGGTTACGCTAACTAGCTACGTGTGCTTCGAGCGCTACTTTTGCAGCTGTTGTTATGTAGAAGGATTTTGGTCCATTCTTTCACGTCTTTGCTGTGGCCTGAGGAGGATGGTATTGAGAAAGGGGTTCTACTGCTGGGGGTTGCGTGTGTCGTATTGTAAAGTTCCACTGCCTCCTACTGGCCGGGTGCTAAAACTACAATGTTTTCACGCGCTATCTAAACAGGGTCTGAGGTCACTCATGGACCAGGCCCTGGTCGACTTGGTTAGTGATTTCACATTTCCACAAACAACCCTTTTTCAGACCAACCTGCACCAGGGCTGGACCAAAGTCATTTTCCAATCCGTACAAGATTGGTCTGAGAGTTGGAAACAATCAATTATACGCAAAAGCGTCTTTTTAAACCTGATCTTATGAAACACTTGTGTGATTATACCCATTTCTGATGATGTGGAAGTGGAATATGTTCACGTCTCTGCTCGTCAGCCACAGGGTGACTATGGCTACAAATGTAACCCCAGAGAGTGTACTGAGTGTAACAGGCAAAAATACAGTCAACAAAGCACTGTGCAAATCCGATGATAGTAAATGTAGCAGAAAAAGCTCTTTGGCAGACATGAAGGAGGAGGACGAAAGCAGAAATGTTACTCTGAATAAAGTAACTTCAATTAATTTTGTGTGAAGCTGTTCAATCCCTCAAAACATGATGCAAGAACATAGAATAGCCGGTGTTTCTGAATACAAGAACATGTCTTTGTCAGATTCAGAGTTGGAGGTATATGGCAGCTGAAACCTCAGAGTAGTGGTATAGTCCCAGCCTGAGCCGCTCCCTGCTGAGTGTATTGATAAGCAGCACTGAACCCTGCGGTCAGTGTTTAATTGCATTATTTGGAGTCCTCAGACAGCCTCCTCCTTCCTCTTTGCCAGAAGGTGAGAGCCAACATTTACTGATACAACCAAATACGGATGAAAAAGATAGAGAATCTCAAGCATGATGTACCACACAAAGCATCCACGCCTCTGCTGCGTAATCCCCTCACTATCGCAGTAATGTTTTCACAATGGGAGAATTTAACAAGGTTCAGATCCAAATCATCACCAAACACAAAAAAGTGGTGCCGATATGAACCGTATTTGATCACATGGGCTTCCACTCCTACTGTGTCGCTCATTCATGCATGTAGAGCAGTATAACTTCCTCATGATGTACCACAATGCATTTTGAACTGTATTACACACACTTCGTAAAAGACTATAGGGCCAGAGGCACTTTTGTTAAACTGAAGATGAATTAAGTTTCAGCTTTGCATTTGCACAACACCTTAAATTCAATCCATTAACCAAACTTTTCTGATGCATGGATGAATGTGTAGGCTAGTGTTCAAATGCTAGCGAGTCACAAAGTAGACGAGTAAGTCGTTTTTTAAGAGCTGTATGAGAAAAAAACAACAAACTTGTCTGAGTCCTTGCCGATTCCCCAGCCTACACAAACTGGAATACAAGAGACTATAAGGCGGTCTATCTGCTTGAGCGCCCTTCAAAAGTCCTTTGACAATCACCTCTGCTCCCTACTCTTTCCACCGATGCTCTGTTTTTGTTGTCACCCCAAAGTGGCTTTATCTTTCTGTCCTTTTTCCACAGACAACCCCAGTGCCAGGGATGAGCTCTGCATTCCTGCCCATCCAGCTGCAGTCTTTTCACCTGATCAGCTTCAGGATAGATAGAGACATGAAGAAGACCTATCAACCGCGACACGCTCATTACCGCCGCAATGTCCCTCTCTAAAATGCCTTCAGTGTTTGCAGTTGTTAGTCCCACACCTGCTCCGACTGGGCCTAGACTGTGTGCTTGTGCGGCTGCATGGAAGACTTCCTCATTATGGCCTGCTTTGTGCATGTGCTTTTTCTAGAGGAGCTGGAGTGGAAAGCCTACCCATGCTGTTGCTATAATGGACTGACCATCTTGTCCATTGTACAGTTTGCAAGAACTTTGTGCGCTCACACGTCTGCTCACGCTTGACTTGAAGCATGCTCACACTTCCTGCCACACACGTTTTAAAAAGAAATCAAGGCTAATTACATCATTGTTAATGAAGCTGTCTCAGACAGGGCTCAGAGAGTCTGTGGACCAGCACTAAACTCAGCACATTTAAAAACCGTTTACAATGATGAGGACTGACAAGAGAATGGGCAGTCCTCAACAGACTTGTCCTTTCCACTGGCTGTTCCTGTTGTAACAGTCATTTAATACAAGCATCTCATGGAGGCTGTTGGTGTGTCTGGATATGGACGTCATCATTGGCAAAGTTAAACCTTTAGAGAAGAATGACTTTATGATGTCATTCAGGCTCTGGCTATAAAAGGTTTTATTTTTGAATGTCATCCTTAGTTTTGTGGTCCTCTCTTGTAAAGTTTTGGGACTTTGTGCTTTGTCTGTTTCATATCAAATTTCAGAATAAAAGCCTCTGACCAATGGGGTCTTAAGGACAACATAAATCACTCAAACATTGTTTATTAAATTGTTATTATAACATAGTTAAACACTTTGTAAAGTAGATCAATAGTTACTTATGTAAATCTGTAAATTCAAGACAACTCTTTCATAATCATAGATAATGAGTGTCATGATGCCAAGACGGAAACACTGTCCAGCATCATATAATAAAAGGTTACAGTATGTTACACAGAGCCACACCTCACATCGTTCATAAAGCATGTTTCACCTCCGTGGATCTAAACAACATCATTCATTCTCTTACCGCTGAACAAATAATCTGTATCATGCATGTGTATCTGCAGAACAGTCTTTTAAGTCTTTAGCAGCGTGCACGTTTAGCAGGAGACAGTGGAGGGGTCAAGCCACAGTTCAGTGTGTCAGGGGTCCTGGTGCCGAGGCTCTTTGATTCCTCTCCCTCGCGGCTCTGAGAATTTCCTCTCCAGTTTCCCAACGCGGGGCCCACGCTGTGCAAGGAGAACCGCGCCAGGAAAATTTATGTTGATGTCAGCAATGAAAACAGTCCTGCCTCTGCTCCGCGTCTCACAATATTTGTCGAGCAGCGGTCTGTCCATTCTTTGGCTTTCTTCGATCTCCTCTTTCTTCGTTTTACCGTGGTGGCGTCCTGAACATTTGAAATTCATGTTTGGTTTCACACTTCACATGGGTTATTGTGTCGACGTAGTATTTGGTGGCGCAGTGCTCCGCCGTCGTCCTCAGGGGCCGAGCCGTGTTTGGGGGTGTCTTTAAACATGTAATCTTCACATTCCTCCTCCCTCGGGCCATGTATAAGCAGCCTCCAGGTGCCAATCTGGAGAAGATTCTACCTGTTAATATATACACCTCCCAGTCCATTAAGTGACTACTTATACACATTATACTAAACATATACAGCATAGCAGAGCAGTTTGGTTGTTTGAAAAACCGGATGTGACAATGTTTGTTTTAATGAGTCCCATGTAGCTGAGTTCAGACACTTCTTAATATCAGTGATTATTTCATAGTAAATGAACAATATGCAGTTAAGAATTGGTTCAGGGATCAGCTTTTCTTCTGGTTTATTTTTTATTTTTTCTTATCCCTTTGCATCCGCCAATGATGTGTCAGGCAGGACTTTTTGCAATACAGTTGTTTCCTAAACAATTAGCATTTACTTCTAGGTTATCTGAGTATTTGAACAGTTTCCTGCTCCCTGTTTATTTGAACAATAAAAAGTATATGAATAAATATATCTTCAATATTGTGGTCATAATGTCCCACTTGTTTTCACACAGTAGACTAATTTTAAAACATTTCGCTGCAGTCCATGTTTCCTTGTTTATCAACATGAATAATGTGTATGTGGCTCTTCTTGCAGCTGACATTCCAGTCACGTTCCCGGCGTCAGTCGTCCATCATCTCATTGGTTGGCACGCCTGGCTCCTGCCATCATCACCATGGCAATGTGAGTGTCCTCCTGGTTGCCATCACCATGGCGATGGGCGTGGCCCCAGCAACCATCAGCATGGGCCTCTTAACCAGGATCACCATGGCAATATGGCGGTCCAATGCCAGGCCTGCGCTGGTGGTATGTGCTGCTTAGAACAATGTGCTGTGGGGCTGTAATTAAACATACTGAGAAATATATATGTTTAGTGACTAGATGCATGGGAAATACAACACAATATTTAGACCTATTTGCAGAGAATGGAATATAATCAGGCCCAGATATGGATAAAACTCAGACTTGTATTCAAATACAGGAGCCATTCTACAAGTGGAGGTTATGAGAGTGCCAGGTTTGAACACACTCTTTACCTTCAGGTACTGAATCATTGCACATGCATAAGTACACAAACGCTCCCTCTGTAGAGAGCAGAGCGAGCACATGTTTGCAAAGCTTGAGCTGTTTAGATAGAGACCATTGGGTTTCAGGAAGCATTGCTTTAAGGTATGATATGTTAATAAAATGTGTCAAGATGTCTGGAACCCTTTCTCTCTTTATAAACAAACTTACAGCCTGTGCGCTTCTAATTAGCAGGCCCATCTGTTCAGTTTAGCAAAGTTGTTGAGATTTACCACAGAAACTGTAAAAAGACAAGCTGACTTCCACACAGCAGATGACAAGTGTGAGAAATTCCAAATTCAATTCCCTTGTGGGCCTTGCATGCATCCAATTGCTTTATTGTTTCCTGTTTCTGTGTTTGTCATATCAATAATACCTAATACAACTCGTTTATGAATCTCAGGATAACAAGATCACAACATTTATTTAACGTTCATTCCAAAAAGCCAGATCAGACGCTTTGGACACTTAAGTGCTTGGGCCATGTATTTGTGTGCAGATTCATATTGGTGTTATGGGAGAGCATGGGACAGTGTGGCTGAGTGTCTGTTTGTGATGTGTTTTGGGGAGGGGGTGGGTGGGGGCATGGAGGGTCCATCTGCTCTCTTCTGCTCCCCTGCACTGATATAAGATTACGTTAATCTGGGTACTTGTCAGGACAGGTTAGCGAAAGCAGACGGCAGAGTGAGACTCACGTTAAACAGGTTGGCGCGGATAAGGTTTTTGTGACGTGTTTCACAAATAAGATCAGACGACAAACAATGAATCTTTATAATTACTTCAATCAATACAACACCATTCAAACCAACAAACGAGCTGGAATCGTTATTTTTCGTTTTTTTATGAATGTCATTTAAATAGCTTTCAAATATATAATAGTGTATACAAACATATGATGAATGTTTATAATCTGAATAATTAACAGCCACTAACTCATTTTAGCTCAATTTAGGATTTGTATACTGGTTTTATTATTGTTATTATTGTTGTGTGTATGTGTGTGTGTGTGTGTGTGTGTGTATGTGTGTGTTTTTAAAAACACTTTGTACACACATTGTCAGTTTTCTCTGAATCAATACATTTTCAAAACCTCAGCAGGTGATTGAGACCATTGACCGCTTTCTCCTGTGATTTTAATTGATTTACCATGTGTCATTCTGGTGCTTGCATCCATTACCAAATCCACTGTTTCTATGGACTTCTATTGAGGTCATTAAGGGAACTATACATTTTAATAGACTTATAAATGTAAATTAAAATGAAATAATACACATTTTATACTGCACATGACAAATAAAATCTGAATCTGAATCTTTTGCAACCCTCCTGGTGGTATTTGTGACCCCTGGCCTTATTCTTGAGGATCCCAGAGTAACGGTCTGTGAGGGCTTCCCACCCTTTGCATCACTGTTGTGTCTCCAAACATTTAATTCTGTGGAATAGCCCTCCTATAAACGCCAGTCTGCATCCTGTACAGCTTCTGATCTTTTCCTCTCTTAGCACTTTTAAGGTCGTAATGATTTTGTAACTTGTTATGCTAATTGGTATGGCTGTTTTGAGAAGGATTTATTGCCTGTGTGCTTGAAGGGGGAAAAGAAAAAGAATTTAGAGTAATTAATCCCGTTAACCGGGATAATTGGGCAAAAAATAGCCGTGCCACTGGCGCTGACTGGGAGGAGCCGTAGTTAACCCTGCTTCCTGTGTTTTATTTCAAACTTAATGTTTCCTCTTGTTTAAACTTCCTCTCAGGATCCTGCTAATCCACTTGTTTGCGCCCTATTTGTGAGCTATTGGGGCAGGAGGCCTTAAAGCAGGAGAGGGATGTGGGCCAGTGAGCAATGTGAGCAATGTGAAAAGACACGCTGAATCCTTCTGAAAGGACTCTAACAAATACTACTACTACTACTACTACTACAACTACTACTACTACAACTACTATTACTTCAAATACTACTACTACAACTACTACTACTACAACTATTATTACTACAACTACTACTACTACAACTACTACTACTACAACTACTACTACTACTGCTACAACTACTACTACAACTACAACTACTACTACAACTACTACTACTACTAAAACTACTACTACTACTACAACTAATACTACTACTACAACTACAACTACTACTACTACTACAACAACTACTACTACTACAACTACTACTACTACAACTACTACTACTACTACAACTACTACTATTTCTACAACTACTACTACTACTACAACTACAACTACTACTACAACAACAACAACAACTACTACTACTACTACAACAACTACTACTACTTGATAGTGTCATATAAGCCCATGAGGGCTGGGCACATACTGTATGTGTACGACACTTAAATAAAAAATATTCATTCATTCATTCACTACTACAACTACTACTACTACAACTATTATTACTACAACTACTACTACTACAACTACTACTACTACAACTACTACTACTACTGCTACAACTACTACTACAACTACAACTACTACTAATACAACTACTACTACTACTACAACTACTACTACTACTACAACTACAACTACTACTACTACAACTACTACTACTACTACAACTACTACTACTACTACAACTACTACTACTACAACTACTACTACTACAACTACTACTACTACAACTACTATTACTACTACTACTACATGTGCACTGCAGATCTGTGGAACCAATAATGCTTATGTTATGTTTAATCACAATTACTCAGTCTGTTTATTTCAGAACATGTACTATTTTACTGAACAAAGTACCATACATATATGTATGTTTTGAAAAGGAGTTTTGGATGAAGCAGACACTTATAAACATATGATATTGTACATTTGATAAAACATTATTATTACCTTAGCCTTTAAGATTCACTGGATCGGTATTATATTACAATGACAACTATTAAGAGCAATTATTGTCCAACATTAATACATAAATGAAACTTGTCCATCGTTTTCCAGAGAACCTAACCTTCTCAAAAGTACATTGTTAAATACAGTAAGCAAGGCACGCCAGACAAACAACTGTTCCCACTTTATGGAGCAATTACCTGCTGGTGCGTTTGCCCACCTCACTGTTTCACATTAACCTGCTTTTTTTTACTGGCACAAACATGTTGGCCTTTTTACAGTGGATTTCCCATGCTCATAGGCTTTTTATGATCAGCTGCAATAACAAGGCGCTCTAACTCATTCCATATCCTCGCTCTCCCCCTCCGGAGAAACACTCATCTGTTATTGTCAGAACCATGCCGGGACTGTAACCGGAATAGGCAGATCCTAATTTCATCCACTTTTAAGAAATTTACTGGCTTAAACGAGACCTCCTTGAAGATGTACTTGTGTTAAAAGTGGAAAACTGGGCTTTTTTCTTTCGAGAGCTGAGATTAGAATCTATAATCAAACCTGACTTACAATGTGACATTTCATTTGATCCGTTTACAGATCTTATCTTATTCAGTTTTAAAGAAGTATGTTCCTTTAGGAAAACACTGATGTGCCTTTTACACAACGTTAGAGTGGGGAATCGGATTGGTCTTTGGTTTACAGAAAGACGGTGTTTCAGGAAATGAAAACGCAAGTGTTGAGAAACAGCCTCCAGAGTGGAATAGAACAGATTCGCTGCTCAGAGGGGGCTGTTTTAGAGAATAGTGAAGAAAAAGGTGAGAATTCTCTGCTGCAATGACCTCACCACTTCGCCGCACGCACATTTGGACATGTGCAGTGGCCGAGAACAAACGTGAACAACAATGGCGGCGAATCAACTAAGGCTAACTTCGTCCAAACAAAACCACGCAATGCTGTAGTTTAAGTTTCCATTTTGCTGCCGCTGTTAAATGCAGAATGATGTTGGTGGATTCTTTCCCGTCTTTGCGGCGGCCTGAGGAGGATGTTGTTAAGGCAGTGGTCATATTGGTGGGGGTCGTGTGTGTCATGTTATAAATATCCACTGCCCCCTACTGGCTGGGAGCTAGAACTACATTGTTGTCCGTTGTGGTGTAGATGCTGTGCACTTCAAATAAGGAGCCTGGTTGTTTTTGCTAATTGCTTTGTAGCATCTCCGCAGCGTCTTCGCTACATCTCTGCAGCGTCTCCATCCAAACGGGGCCTGATTCTCATTACAAAAGTTCTTTACAAACAGCGCATATGGACAATCTCCAGTTGCTGGATCTGTCTCTTCTAGGATTCTGCGCTGTATATAAAGTACATGCCTGAAATGCATATACAAGAAATCTACGCAGACACAGAGAGAACATGCAAGCGCCATTCAAAAAGGCTGGGTTCACTTTCTTACTGTGAAGTGAGAGTGCTTACCTCTGTGCATGTTTGTAAAGGGCCTTTTGGACCAGAATGATTGATATTACTAAAATACCAAAATATTGCAAAGCAAAAAATAACATACATATTTGGCAAGGCCTGTTTATTTATTTGTATTGCACAATTAATACACAAGGCAACTCAAAGTGCTGCACAAGACAAGAATCATTAATACATTCTGTACATTCTGAATAAATACAAAAATATAAAATCCCTCAGTTGTATGCACAGCTTAACAGAACTGGATTTAAAAATGGTCAGAAAAGAAGCCTGTCTCACATTTTCCGGGAGATTGTTCCAGATTTTAGCTGTTTAGTTCTGACTCTGGGCACTGGCGGGAGGCAGCCCCTGTGCTCCTCAGAGTCTGAGTTGGTTCATACGGGACTAACATGTTGCTACTTTGGTGCGAGGCCATGGAGAGACTTGT